AGTGTTTAAGGGGTTTTTCTTTTTTATTTTTAAGGTCTTTTTTTTTTTTTTTTTTTTTTTTTTTTTTTTGCCTTAGGTTAACCTCCAGTTTCATGGCCTGGAAAGTCCAAATTCTCTCTGGACTCTCTCAAGCCCCAGAAGGGCTTATAACCTCATTACCTTTGTTTCCTCTTCGCTGCCTTCGTAAACTCAGATGCAAAATACTTTACATTGATTCCATATGAAGGCCATTCAGACTAAGACTTCTCTGAGTTCTTTAGGTCTGTACAGATTTGTGTGAAACAGAGGTAGGTCAAATCACTTAGTGTATAGCCATCTGCCTCCTTGTTGGCCCTTTCACAGTCTTTGGTAATTTCCATTCCTCACCTTTCTCATAATTGTGCAGGGCATCAAATTCTCCTTCCACTCTGCTTAGCAATTCAGTTCTCCCTGGTTACCACTTACATTTTATATGCCACATACTCCAAAATCTTTAGTGAACAAAGGCCCTGCTATTTACACTCACTATGGAGGATAATTGGTGTTATAAATAATAACCTCTATTGTACATATATTGATTCGTTTATTATGTGACTAATATCTGTGAGATAGATATTGGTCTTATTTTGCATATTGCTAAATTGAAACTAAGTTAAATCAGTAACTTTTCCCAAGATCCAGGCTGAAGTTTGAATCTAGGTTTGTGCCTCAGAAACACATACATGACCTCGTGAGCAGATTTTCTTTTTTTTTCTTTACCTAGATTCTTCTCTCATCCATGCTGCTTCTTCCTTTTTTTCTCTCTTCTTCACTCCTTTCTCTTTTCTCTCTTCTTCCCTCACCTTATCTTCTCTCTCTTTTCCCTTTTGTTTTAGAGGTTTTTGCCATAGGGGACGTGTGCTCACTGGGCAGACAGACAGAGACCGTGAGAGGGAAAGTGAGAAATTAATTATCCTCCAGGGAAGGTGGCCACACTGCCATCTTTTCTCCTCCAATCTCTTCCTGGGATCTTGGGCAGGCATGCACGCACATAAACCAGGCATGATTTTCAAGCCTGTAGATCTGAGACTTGTGGTAGTCCAGTGACGTAACCACTGTGCCATTTGCTGACCCCTCTTTTTCCTTTCTATAATCGATAGCCTAAGTGTGATTCTTTCAGCACTGTGGAATGATACTCATTTTAAGCTAGGATTGATCATTTACAATTATCAATTTAACTTGGATTTTGCTAGAAAGCTTTTATTTTATCTATAGCAGATATCTTCATTGGTAATAGCAAAACACTATGTACATGTCACAACAGATCTAAAGTATAGTATAGTCTGCCTTATGATGTGAGAAACTGATTTCATTTAACTTTCCCTGCCCTTGCTCATCTCCCTCCATGGCATCCTGATCTATGGGGGTTAGGGAATGTGGCTTATGTTTCTTTATCACATTGGAGGAGAGGGTCTCCTGTTCTTAGGTACTTGCCCACTACACACCTGCCACACCCAGACATGCAGGGCACAGCTCTAGCCTTTGTGGGAATACCTTATTCCTCCAGTGTGAGTCATTGAATAGAGACACTGACTATCATCTTGGAATTGACACTCCAGTGGATCTGGACAAAACTAGGGATGTCAGCTAGGCATTTCTCTTAGATCCTGTAGCTCCCCATCCTTTACTCAGTTGAGCCTACCTGTTGACTTGGAAACTTCAGCATAGTGGGATCTCTCATAGTACGAGGCTGAATGTCTAGGAAAGGGTCCTGGTCTACATTTCCCCTGTATAGACAAAAGCCCACCAACTGGATATCAGAACATATGTTCTCTTGCCTTTTTTCATACACCTCCCAACAAGTCTTAAATTTGTGCTACTCTTTCCAGATCAGTTTTTTCCTTGTTTTGACTCCTTTTAAGCAGTAGTGATGGGAAAAAGACTCTTCTCTACCATCTGTTTAGCCTCCCAAGCTCAGTTCCTTAAGCTTAGTTTTTGACATGAAAAAGAAGGAAATGAAGAAATTGGAACATACTTTCCCTAGAGTGTTACCTGGCATTAAAGGATTCTGGCTTGTTCCCTAATCAGATTTTCTTGTCAGTACCTGACCATTGCTTCAGTTTTTCTCTTTGTAAGACATCTAAAACAAATCTTAATCAGTCCCTAGGCAGATGGATGTCTCAGACAGATTAGGGAAAAAAAATAAAAGTAAAATCAGTAATTTTTAAAATAGTCTCTACATATAAAAGGCTGAATATGTTTATAATCTTTTCTTTCATATTTAATTTAATTTGAGATTTTCCTTGAGAAAAATGGAGGCAAAAATGACAATTGCGAGGTTAAATTTTTGAATTAACAAATGTTAACTTTTTAACAAAATAATTATTTTATTCAATTTTATTCATTCATTCATTTATTTTAATTTGACCAGAGAGAGACAGAGAGAGAGAGAGAGGAAAGTGACAAAGCAAGCTGCCAGGTCCAGGACTCGAACCATGGTCAGCCATGTGGGAGTGTCTAGCGCCTTAACCACCACACCACCTGCCAGTTCCCAACAAATGTTAACTTTAAATCACTATGTGACCCATGAGGTTGACCCATTGCTTCTTTGGTTGTCTGTCTTTCTTTCTTTCTTTCTTTCTTTCTTTCTTTCTTTCTTTCTTTCTTTCTTTCTTTCTTTCTTTCTTTCTTCCTTTTTACTTATTTTTATTTGCCAGAGAGCAGGTGCACTCTGGGAAGGTGGGAGAGAAAAGGAAAGAGAGAAAGCACCTCCCATGGGGGATGATCACATTGCACTTCCTCTTCCTTCCTATCTCCCTCCTTTCAGGATCTTAGGCACACATGCACATGGGACAGATTTGTTTGTCAAGCTGCTAGGCCAGGTTTGAACCCTGCTATGGACCATGTGGAACCTAGCCACTTTAACTACCATGCCACAGGTTGGCCTGAATTGTCTTCCTTTAAAAATGATGTTTTTTATATTAATATTATTGTCTTTAGTATTTTAAAATAAATCTCAGTTCATTTTTGAACTGTAATACTTGAAGAACAACTACATTCTAATTTTATTTGTTTATTCCTTATTTTGTGCTTTTGACCATTTTTGGCCATAGTTTGATACTCAGTTTAATAGAAAATTGCAAATGAAATAGCAATATTTTTTAGTGATTTCATTTTTTTCTCCTTTTGATTTTGTTCAATTAAATGTACATATTTAAAATTTTTGAAATATTTGTTTTAAAGCCTCAAGGGGTGGTCCACAGTTTCATATTTCTTAATGTATTTGGAAATGTTTCATATCTTCTAAAATATACCCACGTTTCCTTCATTGTTTGTTTTTTACCTCTTATTTCAATAGAAAATGTCCTTGTTCTTCTAAGATTCCTATTACTACTACAAAATGAGACAAGGTCTCCATAAAGGCTAGAAGTAAGTTTGTAGTAGACATTTCTCTTCTGTCTGCCTCTACATATCAGTCTTTTTTTTTTTTCCAAATAAAGTAAGAATTTATAGAATAGAAAACTTTGAAACATCATACAATTCTCTTTCTGTATTGTAGGCATATTTCATGGCTTTGAATGGAGACTTCTGTGCATTTGTATATTATGAACAACACCCTATTGTTGTGACTAGTCTAAAGCAAGAGTTTCCAGGATAAAGGGTCAGTTCCATGGAGCAGCAGTAATGCGCTGCTCAAGAAAAGTAAGTTCCTACATGGTCATTCTGGTTTGAATTCCCCACCTAGTCAGCCTAAACAAAGTGTGGAATTGCCTAAGATCCCACGGGCTGAGAGACTTGAGGGACAGCACTAAGGTGCATCCAGATCCTGTGGAGGGTGCTTCTTCCTCTCTCTCTTTCTATCACTCTCATGTGCACATGCAGGCAGTGTATAAGAAATAAAGAAAAAATTCGGGGCCAGCTGCATAGCTTCATGGTTAAGGCAGCTGAATTCCATATGGACAAATGTGTGGTTCAAATCCTGGACCCAGGGCCTTGAGAAACACACCAGGTGTGTGTGCATGTGTGCCCAAAATGCTGACAGGAATGAGAAATGGAAGAGGGACTGTGGCATGACCATTTCCCATAGGGGTGCTTACTTCTTCCTCTCTGTTTCTCCTTGGTGAACCTACTTGCCCAACACACATACACATTTTTTCTAAGTTTCCAAGAAACAATTAATTAGAAACGTTAAATAAGTAAGAAAAGAGAGGTTAAAATACTCTTCAGTTATGTGCAATTCTTTCTTTACCCTAAGACACAAGCACATTAAATAAGCAGGTTGATGCTAATTTTCTTAATATAGTTTTATTTGTTTATTTTTTTCTGGAAAGGTTTTTCTATCGGGTGTGCGTGCTTGCCAGAGAGACAGACAGTGACAGAGAGACAAAAAGTTAGAAATCACCCCCCATGGGGGACGGCCAAGCCACAATCCCTTCTCCTCCATTCTCCTCTTGGGATCCTGGGCATGGCCACACACATGACTGGTTTAAGTTTAAGCCACCGGGTCCGGGACTTGAACTGCAGTTGACTACATGGGAGTCCAGTGACATAGCCATTATGTTAACTGCTGGTCCCAATATAGTTTTATTTCTGTTAAATAAAATTTTGTTTTACTGCGTTGTTGGACAAATTTTAGGTAAGTAAAAACTGTGTAGAATAATCTGTGTCTCCATAGAAGCATAGCCTCCCATTCGTGGTGGGAAATACAGAAGGGTGGTGAGTAATTTAAATACTGAAAGACCCATCTTATCAAAAATAAGGTACTAAAATGGCATTGTAAAAAGATAACTGTATTAGAGGAGGAAGTAACCATTTAGTGAATGTGCTATATATGCACACATCTGGGGACAGATAAGACCTGAGACTAGATAGATAGGGAAATGAGTGGAC